GTGGTTGATTATTAGGCAAATATTAATGGTTTGTGGATATATGAGGGAACCCCATTGCTACCAACAGCTTGCCTATTACTAATAGAATTGCTTATCTAATTTGAAAATTAATAGTAACATAACTCCATTGAGAAAAGAACCAAATGATCCTATGCAATAAGAGATTTTCACATTTAATTACCTATTGTATTGCCCTGCAAAAATGCATTCCGCTAACGTTTTCTCCCAAACCTATAATTGTATGGGATCACTTGCTAGATATGAAGGATTTGTTGTTATCTAGTATGTAATAACTGCCCTCCGTATGATAGGATTTGTGCTGGACATCACCTTGGTCAATACTATCCATGGACAGAAATATGATTTCTGAGTGATGTGATCAATATTTGGGCAACCTGCATTTCACATCACAATCCTTGTCATATCAAATAAGTTCATTGCTAGCCACTGTTTAACTCCTTTTTCTGATCTCATACTGTCCAGAATATATTCTTGAAGTTGTGTTAATCACTGTTTAGTCAATGTGTTACATGTTCATTACATTGTCTGCTCTGGCCATCATGATATTTGCCAGAGATGTCTCGGTGAAGAAAAATATAATATCCCTTACAGTTAAGAAAATATTATTCAGGCAAGTGGCAAATTATAGGCAGTTATTGCATAATTTCAGAGAGAAGTGAGCAGTTATTTGCCCAGAGGGAAGTAGCCATGAAGGAAAATGACCCCATGTATCTTGAAAGAAATTAAAAAGTAAGAATCTGTGACAATTAGGTTGCCTCAGCGCCATAAATCTCTCTGTTCTGTTTCTTAATTTCAAAGAAAATGGCTAAGCAAGTAAAGCATTTACGAAGGAAGGTTTTAAAATCTAAATTCCGCCACTAAAGCAGCTACTGTCAGATGCTCACAAACAGCCTGGTAAAACATCTAAAGTGTTGTACCAAGAAAGTTGAAATTATTTTCAAAGACATGATCATTAGAAAAAATGGCATTAATGGATAAGGAAAGGCAGTAGCGGGATCACCTATTTATAGAGGTTTCAGGCTCTCTGCCTATATATACAGTGGATAGTTTCTTCCTTTGTGGTAATAAAAAAGTCAAAACAGGCAATTTTCTAGACAAGTAAATGAATAGGTATAATGATTTGTGACATTTTAAAAATAAATGAACATACAGACTGTCCCATTTCCTAATAGTATGATCTTAACACACATGAATTCTGTCAACAGAGAGACTAAAAACAAATAACATCAGAAACACAAAAAATAAAAATAATGATTAAATCCTGTCCACAACACACCATTGATCCTTAGGGTCTATGTGTGGATTGTATACCTGCATGCTTTTTACAAGAGCTAATTGCAGATGAAGGAGGCAAAACCTCTCTGAGAAGATAATTTCCACACATAATGCTCCTTATCATTTTCTCTCTCTCTGCTACTCCTTCGTGTTCATTTTATTGATTCTTTTCAAACAAATTTATCTGCTTTCATTTAATCATGCATCCAGTCCTGTTGGTATTTCCTACTACGCAGCTTTTTGTAGATTCCTGAGTTCTATTCAACTTTCTCTTATTTTTATAAATGAGAAAAACTAAAGCTCCAACTAGGCCTCTTGAAACACTTCCCCAGGTAGATGGAAACTATGATAATTTGTCTTAAATGTAAATTATGAATCACATACATGAGGGAGGATGTATTTCTATACCTTTTACATCCTACCCAGTGCACATAGCTTAGTCATGTTCAGAGATTTGGCACCTTTGTCAATAGTACTCAACATCTGCGCAATGGGAGGGAAGCATGACTTTGGAGTGCGGAGGGGAACCATGGGCAAAGGCGATTTGTCTACGTGTTATCCTCAAATCATCAATCTGCTATGAAGTGGAATTGACCAAGGCAAATGTCAGGCTGAGATCACTTCATCATTGCACTGTGAAACGAATGGGCTTCTTATGGAGCCCTGAAGAGGCACGTCTCCCTGCTAAGAAGCAGTTTAGGCAAGTTGGGGAAGGCTTTCTCTGAATATGTGTCACTCTGCTATTGAAACCTCACAGCAACATAAACTCAGGCTAACTATGGAGTAACCCCTGGAGAGCCTCTGTTGATAAACTTCCTGTGGGTTACAATCCACAATCAGTCCTTAACCCTGGGGGATGCGGACAGCCATTCTGGCTCTTCTTGATCATATACACATGGACTTATGTTGTGAGAGGTGGAAAACAATAGTTTTGTGGGGGATTTTTTGGCAAAATATGGTCCTAGACACCTTTTCCAACTCCATCCAACCTCTGTATTTTACACTCTGTACTTTTTTCAAATTAGACTTCTCTCTATTCTCCACACAAGTGGTGTGCTTTCACGCCCCCAGGCTTTGCTTAAGCTCCTCTCTGTTTTGCCCATGTCTCTACCTATCTAATTTCTCCACTTTCTTTAAAGCTTCCTGAAGCCCTTCTTAATCCCCTATTCAGAAATGATCCCTTCTTTTTATGTCACAATAGCTGTTGGTTTTCACTTTTCTTCTGACATTTTTACAGCCTGATTTATATCATCAAATGTGTTTATGGCTGATCTTTTTTTTTTTTTTTTTTGTGCGGTACGCGGGCCTCTCACTGTTGTGGCCTCTCCCGCTGCGGAGCACAGGCTCCGGACGCGCAGGCTCAGCGGCCATGGAGCACGGTCCCAGCCGCTCCGCGGCATGTGGGATCCTCTCGGACCGGGGAACGAACCTGCGTCCCCTGCATCGGCAGGCGGACTCTCAACCACTGCGCCACCAGGGGAAGCCCTATGCCTGATCTCTTCAACAATACTATTAGCAATTTGAGGGCAGCATAGCTCTATTACCTTTGTATCCTCCTGAGTGCCAATGCTGTGTTCCTTCATTGTTTCCATACACACAAGATATCTCTCTCTCTCTCTGTTGCACACACACACACACACACACACACACAGAGTTTGTACACAGTCTTATGCTATTGCTACCCTTATTCCTCCCTCCATTCCACCCTAAGAGGACTTAATGTCAAAATTACCTTAAAGGGTACCAGTCAAATTCTCCTCTGGCATAGTTCAACCCATTGCCTGAGATAAAAATAATTTGACAAAGAGGAAAAGCCAATTGCAAAGAGTACCAGACTCTGTGTGTGTGTGTGTGTGTGTGTGTGTGTGTGTAGCACTTTTTTCATTCCTTAGGGAAATCAAGAACTGGTGAAATAAAGGAGTCATCTGTCTTTCACACCTATAAATGTGCTGTTTCCACCCTTTTCTGCAAAGAATTGACTGTGAGCTTCCTCAAGTACAGTTGGCGCTTCCCAGAATGAGGAAAAAGTCTGGGGAGGGAGCCTGGGCAAAAGAACTTCCTAAATATATTGTCCTAAATATACCACTAACAAATAAGAGGTTCTCAAGCTGTGAGATGTTGAGAGGGCCATGGGTTAGAGTCAGCCTCGGTCTGTTGTGGAGAGGAGTCTTTGACCCTCCTCCACCCTTCGCAGTAACCCCAATCCTAGGATGCCAAGTAAGTGAATCTTCCGTGTGAAGATGGTGTTATAGTGTTCTGCCTGGGGAAAACCGATGGCAGACAAGATCTCTCCTATCTATGTTAGCTTGTTTCCACTCTTACCCCTTGCCTTTCCAGAAGCAATGCCACCTCCATTTCAGCATCGTGAGGGTAGAGGTTGGGGACTGGATTCTGAGCTCTACAATATTCCTAACCCCTTCTACTTCTGTGTCCTCGCTGATAAAGAAACAGCCAAGGGCCTCGCTGGGTCAGGGGCGAGGCAATTGAGCAACGTAATGTACAGACGAAAGGATCCATTCCAGCCGGTTGCTCTGACCCAGGCCGACCGACAAGGGCCCTGGGGCCAAGTATTCTGCCTCTCGCACACTCTTGCCGCAGGTCTGACATCAAACTGACACACCTTTTCCTACCTTTCCAGGGGAAAACCGGATATATCCCAACCTTCAGAAGAGGAGAGTTAGCTGTGGACGCTTGCCACGGCTCCATCCCTTCAATTTACAGGCGGGCACACGCAGGTGTGCGTATGGGTAGGAGGTGAGCAGGACTCCCGCTCAACTCATCTTTGTATGTTTCCAAAACCTCCTGCCTCTCAACCCTCGCGGGGACAATGCCAGCGCTGTGAGCTGGGCGCCGAGGGCAGAGCCCGCCGAGTGTGTCTAGGGGAGACATTGGACGTCTGCTAGGACGCAGTAAACGCTGACAGCCGAGTTGAACGCAGTCCCCCTAATATCTCATCCCCTCCCCAATCTCTCTCTCTTAAGGTATCTGCTGTCAGCAGCAGTGGGTCGACGTGGATAAGAAACACCGTGCACATCTTTCCGCCTACTCTCTAGAGCACGAGGAGGCAGGCGGTGTAGACACCAGAGGGCGTCTGCTTTCCCTCTGCCAGGGCAGAGTGGAAAGCGTGAGAAGCGGGCCGCTTGCTGAAGGTTTGAGCGAGAGGGAGGGCCTGGAAGAGGGAGAACCCCCCCGCCCCACGCCCTTGGAGGAATGAGAGCTGCGGAATACACCGTCCTCCCCCAGATGGCCCGCTCCAGCTAAGCCCGGGCGCGCTTGGAGCGCGGGGCCGGGCGACCGCCTGCACCATCAACACCAATTCCAGCAGTCCGCTTTCGCGAACTGGCCCGCAGCTGTGCAGGAGCTCCAGGCCGCCCTCCCTCCTCGGCCCAGGGCCGTCCGTCAACGTGCGGATCGCCGTCAGGCTGAGCGTGCGGCCGCCACTCGTGGACGTGCTCGTGCCAGTTGGATCGCGGCGACCTCTGTAGCTGGAGGCACAGGGAACCGAACTCGCGTCTCCGAGCTCGACTGCGGACGAACCCTGGAGCGGCGCGCCTCCCGGCAAGCGGTCGCCGTTAAGCGCGGAGGGATACGCCTCGGCAGCGCTTCCCCTCCCTCCCCTCCTCTCCCCGCGCCCCCGCCCCCGCCTCCCTCCCAGCCCGGCTCTGCTGCCGCCGCGGCGGCCGCTGCTGGTGCTGCTGCTGCCGCCGCCGCCGCCGCCGCCGCTGCTGCCTGGATATAGTGCGGCAAGGAGCGGAGCTCGCAATCACTTTGCAAGGAGGAGCGCGCGGGCTGCGGACGGCTGGGGCGCCCCGGGAGCGGCGGCGGCTCTAGCAGAGGCGGCCGTGACAGCGGAAGGTTCTCTCTCCGGGACTGGACTGAATAACTTTGGAACTGTCCACCAGTGTCACGTCCTGAACATGAGCCTCCTCCTCTCCTTCTACCTGCTCGGGTTGCTTGTCAGTAGCGGGCAAGGTAGGAGTGTGGTGCTTTATTGCATTTACTTTCCCTCCCCCTTCTACCCAACCAAGAGAGGCAGAAGGAGGCACAAGAAGAATTAAATGACGGAAATAAAGTTATAGTTGTTGTTGTTATTTTCCCTCTTTTTTTAGCAGCGGCTAAAAATTGTATCTGTTCTGTGGAGACCCTTAAATAAGAGAAAATACAGAATGGGAGATAGGCATTAGTGAGCAGGAGATTGAGGCAAACTGCATCTTTTTCTGGGATCTTGGCTTTCTCCGATCGTCATTATCAAAAATTGGATGGGTGTGTTGGTGTGTGTTCACACTTAAATATCTGAGGTTGCGAAAAGAAAGGGAGCGATGATGTTTTTAAGAAGCAGCAAAAACTATCAGCATTAAACTCGTTGTGGAATACCTCTGTTGTGTGCAGGAAATTCAATTCTTAGAGACTTTTTTTTTTCTTCTCTTTCCCAAGACCCCAGTTCCTGACGGAAGTGAACGATGATGGTTTATTTCTGTTGAGAACTAAGAGAGGGGCCATAGATATTGTGTGTAAGAAAGCAAATGGGTAAAACTAGGGATGTGTTGCAGTCATTCATTTTCAGCGTCTCCGCCACCCCTTCGTTAATACAGGAAGGTTGAAAAATTTTATACCATCAGGTTGTAATTACACCTGTAAGGGATGTTTTAGCTTGTGGGGAACTGGTGGGGTTTTTATCTATTAAGAAAAAAAAAAAAATGAATAGCTTACTAGAATAACCTGAGAGAGAATTTGGGGAAGCTACCTCTGTTTATGTTTATAGAGATAGATGTAAAGTTATCTTGCTTTGTTTAATTTACATTCACGTAAAATATATTTGTAATAAATGGAGACATTTACAACTGTCCAGACAAGTTTGGACATTTAATTGGAGACACAAAATGCTAAAACATACATTGGTGGAAGTCTTCAAAGTAAAAGAATATAGAAGTAATTTTGTGATGTGTAATAATCGCAGAGAATGTTATATTATTAGTGTAGCATGAAATTGTTTTTTTGAGAAAAAATAAATTACAGCACAAGTTAAAATATCTCCATTGTATTCAATTCTCAGCCTTTTAGCCTCTTCTGTGTTTCTCATTTAGTCCAGCAGGGGGTGGCAGAACTCCATTGTAAGCCCAGAAATGGTGGTTCGGTCCTTCCACACTCACTAGGTCCTTCTATCATTCTTCAGCAGGGCTTGACATTTTGGATATGAAGGCTTCCTTTCTCTGCCCTTCTCCTCCCTAAAGCTGTAGTGTTAGTGGCTGATGAAACACGATTGGATGCAGATTTTATGTTCAGAAATCAGAAAGCAAACTGTACGTGGCTGTAGTTTGCAAAGTGTCTTGCTAAGATGCTCCTCCTTTTCCCTTAATAAAATAGAGTATGCAAAATTTCAGTCATAGCAAAATTGCAGATATGTCTATCTGAAGCTAATATTAGCCCAATCAGTTAGGTGAATCATTATTACCACAAAGATCAACATACACTTTTATGTCCTACAGATATACTGCTTTAATTTTTGGAGAGCTGCTGTTGGTTTAACTGTTCATTTATAATATAGACAGGTATTTCTGAATACTGAGAAGCAGTCTCTGAAAATTGCAGTTGAAATCCCACTTCAATTAACCAAGAGTAGATAGTGTGGAGCAAGATGGGGCATAATAGGAAGCAAGTTTATGCAGCCAGGATTACACTGTGACTGGTTTGGAGAAGAAAAATGTCTCAGTTGTGGAGTCTGTGAATTTGCCATCGTAGACATTAAGTGTGTTGGAATTTGGGGGATAAAAAAGAAATCCGGGAACGTTTAAATAGTACACACAGACACATATAATTTGGGTCTTTATATGTAACACATCTGAAATTGCAATTCACCTAATTTATAATTCAGAACGCAGGGTGATTATATAGCGAGGCTCTAAGACCGAAGCATGCCTGAAGGGGAGCCCATATTCACTTTAATGAAACAGGGAAGGAGGGGAGCATCGTTCTGAAGGTCTATATAGCACAATTTAAAAATGCATGGCACTCACAGAGGCATAGATGCATGCATAGGAGAGAGCCCTAGCTTTTGTGAAACAGAACATGTGGTACTTCTGTGCCGTGTGTCCCAATGAAGTCAGAGATGCTTGGAAACAGCAATCCTGATCCTGGAGTCCAATCCCTCTATGCTAGTGTTTTGTTCTCCAATTAAGGATGCAGCAGCAAGTATCAGAAATACCACTGGGAGCAGTTTGAAAAAATGCATCTAGTGTAACTCATAATTTTGTTTATTCTTTTATAAATGGGGCCATGGAAAAGCCGCCAGTCAGTGATCCCTGAGCTTGCCTTAGAAATACTAAAATCCCAGCTTGCTGATTTATGTTTCCAACAATATCCTTGCAAGGGATTTTATGAAGCATGATTGAAGCTATTGCTTTGGAAAGTGGTGTGCAGTTAGACTGGGGCAAGGCAACGATGATGTATTCCCTTTTAAGTAGTCAAAACGTTTTGAACTGCAGCAGTCGAATAAAAGAAGATGACAGAAGTGAAAAACTGACTAACTTAAGTGGATGCCAATACCATAATTAGCTAACAAGGCCTAACAGTTCTAAATTTCAACACAACGTTATTGTTCTACTGCAGTGAGAGGCTTTTTTTTATTGTAGCAGAAATGCTCCTTTAAAAGCCTCTCATTTTCACTGCAAGATTCATATCTAATGAAGTGAGGTTGGGATTTAATTGTCAAGTCTGCATTGCATTGTCAATGGAACGGAGATTCCATAACTCTATAACTTTTGCAATTATTTTCCTTTTGTATTTAAAACTTGGTCACAGCTTCTGTCATCATACATCTCAAGTGATAACTTAAGTCTGTGATTCACAGGGCATGTACTGTTTGGATCTATGTAAATTCAGATTCCCAAACTGTAGTATGTATGGATTGCTTTCCTAAACCTTTTTTAATTTTTAAAATAATTTTCTTCTTCTTTTAAAAATTACCCAAGTGTGATTAATACACATCTATTACTGAATGTTCACATACATAAATTAGAAGCATTGTTGTATGAAATTATAAAGCAAGAACAGAACTATTCATCTCTCTTTCAATCCAGTACAAGATACATACATCGAACACTCACCTAAGCCAAAATCATGGGGAGAAGGGGGTGAATTACCCAGTTACTTAAGCTTACAGGCATCTGCTTAAAATTATTCTTTCTGGTGAAGTGCTAGTAAGTCATTGTTTGTTAGAAAAGTGTCCCTTCTAAAAATAAAGCACAGGTATATGTGTGTCTACCAGTTTCAGGTCTTGAGGAAGGTCTCCACAAACCTATCTTTTGTTTGGGCTGTTAAACACACACAACCTCTTTTATCTACCCTGATCTAATCCTTCAATGTCAGCCTCTCTTTGTAAGGTTTCTATTGAATCAACTCCATATTCATCTGCACTTAGAGAAGATAGGCTATGTCAATTAATATCATATGATCAATAAATAACCCAGAGGATTTCCTTCCCTGCTTTATGTCAAAGGAGTTAAGCGGAGTGTTTGGTCACTTTAGTGTCCAAACTTTGGTGTCCACTTTAGTGTCTAATGCTGAATTGGAGCTCATAGAACAAGAAGAGAGGTTGGTGGGTCCTGAGTGTTCATGGAGTCTTTTCAGTGACACAGGGGGCTAATGGTCCCCCAGAGGTAATGCCTTCTTAGAGAAGCAATTAATGGAACAAAAGAACCTCATACAGTCCGAAAGAAAGTCACACTTCATATAATCTAGTAAATAAAATCACTTGTTTTCAAACATAGGACTAGTTTGTAATGAGACTGAGAAATAAGCTACAGAGATTGAGGCTAGTAACCAAGCTGAACAGTATAATTTGTTTTTGCTTGTTTCCTTGGGAAGGAGCAGTGAGAATGGAAACAGGGTTGTCAATCTGAAGACCCTGGAACTATTCCTGCTGCTTCCTCTGGCTTTTGACATTTGTGAAATGATTTTAATTCTTCTGTTTTTGAGGTCATCTCTCACAGCAGTGAATTTTTGAGAGCATGAAGAAAGTACTTCATAAGTGGTAGAGCTAGTCTGAATTGCTTTTGCTTTTTTGGTCCAAAATAAAGATAATCCTCTAGGAGCTGGTGCATGCAAAATTAATGTAATAATTATATATTCTTATAAAGTGAACAGCATTGTTTTTCAAGTTTTATTGGCCTAGATTCTAAATTCCTTGTGCCCTTTATTCTATCCCAGTTATACTGAAGATAGGCCTATTTAACAGATTATAAATTAGTTTTAATTTTCCAAATTATATGATATGAGAACACTTTAAGATGCAAGCAGTGCTTGTATGCTTTTATTAAATGTAATATTCCTGAGCTTCATAGAGCCAAGCTATCTTTAATTGTTCAGCAAGTAAAAGTGCTTCTGTATGGCACTCTTTTGAATATTTTAATAACTTTTAACTGTTTACAATTATAATAATAGTGCTCATCTCAAATAGCTATCAACACACTTCCTAATTTCACTTGTGCCACTAACAGTTCATCAAACATTACAAGATATTTTAGAAAGATGTAATGAAAAAAACTTGCCTGAATTTAAATAGTTAAGAGGCAGATGGGGAATTTTGAGAGTATTTATAAGCATAACAATCAACAGATGAGTCTTCGAAGAATTTCAGGTCAATTAATAAAAATTGTCTTGGCTGCAATTTGCTTTTTAAAACAAGCAGAGAAGGAGAAAGAACACTGGATTTGGAATCAGAAGACCTACAACACTAAGGGCCTCTTGATTTTTTGAAGAAGCAACTTAGTCTCTCAGAGCCATTATTTGCTTACTTGAAAATGTGATATAAAAATATCTGGCTGGTTGACCTTGCTGTACTGTAATGTGGAGCAGTTGTGATAACACGTATGTGTAGGCATCTTGTAAAACGTCAAGCCTACTATGCCAGACTTTATTTATATTTTTGGTATAATATGCATACATATAAATCTACCTATGGCTTAAAAACATCT